GCCGACATTCTCGCGCCCGCGCTCGAGATGGACTTTCCGAAGAAGCACATGCTCGTTAGCGTCGACAACAAGGCCGTCATCAAGGAGCGCAAGACGCAGTTCCAGCGCTTCACGGCTGCGCTCATCGCTCTCCGCGCCTCGTGCATCCTCGCGTCGCTCGACGCTGATCGCACGGACGCGCAACTCGCCAAGCTGGACGCAATCTTTGACCTGCTCCAGGAGTTTCTCGAAATCCCGTCGACGCACGACCCGCTCGCGGGCTCGTCGCCGGCGTCGCCGACCTCGGACCGCTGCAGCGAGACGTCCAACGACTCGAGCTGCGACTCGTGCTCGATCTGCCTAAACGACTTCAAGGCGTCCGGTGCGACGTACCACTACCAGACCCCCAAGCACAACGCGGCGCCGGCCAAGAAGGTCCGGTTCGCCCTCGACGACGACGACGACGCCGAAGCCGCCGACGAAGAAGAAACGGTGCTCAAGCTTCCTTGCAACCACTACTTTCACGAAGAGTGCGTCATGTACTGGATCGAACAAAAGAACTCGTGCCCGCTCTGCCGCGCCGACGCCTTTGAAGGTGTTATGGTCTAAGCAATATATATATGAACGTGTTTCGCGTTATCTTCATTGTTACAAAGAGTTCGCATACGTAGAGACTAGCGATCTCCTTCTTCTTCATTCGTTCACCGGGCCGTGGCTGCGCAGGCGGCGGTGCGCGGGCTCGTTTTGCTCTTCTGTGGTCGTCCGGGGGTGCTTGTGGCCGCGGATGAGGCCCATGACGACTCGCTGTGTAAAGGCCTTCCAGGCTTTGTTGTCGTCGGCAAAGCTACGCAGTTGGTTGAGGTCCTCGAGAGACGCCAGCGACTGAGGCGGCGTCAACGACTGGAGGTCGCGGTGCAGGACGATCGGCTAAGTGATCTTGGTGCGGCCTAGAAAACGGGGCGCCTCCGGAGCGCCAAAGAAGCGGGCGGCGGCAAGGTTGGCAGGGACGTCTACACTCATGGGCAACACGAGGCCCAGCAGGCGCCAGCGCTGGCGGGCGACGACGCTGAGCTTGCTTGGGTGAAAGATACCTAGAAGGCGGCGCAGCTGCCGGCGATAGAAGCTGTCAAGGTCCGCCAGACTCGTTGGCGTCAGGGCCCACGTGCCACTGTTGTACAAAAGGATCGGGAGCACGTACAGTACAGTAGCACACTTCGTCATTGTCGAGGAAGCCCCGAAGCACCGTGAGGAGCTTCGCGCGGTCGATCGAGTCGAACGCGCGTGAGACGTCGATACCTAGGATAGAGAACTGCTCTTTATACTGGCGGATCCGGGCGACGCACCACTTGTGTGACCACACGACATCGGCCGTGCTGCGTCCAGGGCGAAAGCCGCTCTGATACGCGCCAATCTGCTCGTCGAGCTTCGGCTGGATCCGCTTGAGCACCATCACAGAGACGGCTTTGAGGATGCAGTTGAGCAGCACCATCGGGCGGAGGCTCGAGCACACGCCTTGGGGCTTGTTCGGCTTGGAGCATCTTGAAGTCGGCCGTCACGAGCTTGTGGTCGGAGGACATCTGGAGGCCGCCCACTGCTGTGCGCGTCGAGACACGACTCGACCATGGCGCGTGGGCACAAGACGTAGTCGATCTGGTTGTGCACAGTGCACGAGCCGCAGTTGCGCGTCCACGTCGTGAGGTTCTTGGCGCGCTTGGGAAACATTGTGTTGACCGCCTCGAGATCATGGCTGACGCAGAGGTCGGCGAGAGCTTCGCCGTTCGCGTTGCGGTAGCCGCGGCAAAACCGGCCCATGAAGGCCTCGTTGGCTTCGCGCTGGCCGAGCTTGGCGTTGAAGTCACCGCCGATGACCGTGATGTCACGCGGAGGCAGCGCCTTGAGCACGCGATCCAGATCGTCGTAGAAGCGGTCAATTTTAGCCCGCGGCCGTCCCAGCGCGTAGACCGAGAGCACGTTGAGACAGGTGTACCTGGAGACTTTGAGTTGAAGGACCGCAATGCGATCCGTGGCTGCAAAGCATGCTCGACCTTCGGCGTGCCATCGCGACGGCGTGGGCAGGGCGTAGATGACGTACTCCTTGGTCCCGCCGATGCGTCTCTCGAGGCCTGTTACAAGGTGCGTCTCTTGGAGACACAGAACCGAGATGTGGTAACGGGCGAGATCGAGAGCGAGATCCTTTTGCTTTACCTCCGAGGCGAGACATTGACAGTTGAGCGTGGCGGGCGCTGGCGCGGGGACCGGGATCGAGGAGAAGGGGAGATTGCTTGTCTGGCAAAGGACTGACACAAGCGGTCGACGACAGGGTCGACCGCCTGCGAGGAGAGACGTCCTATCATAGATGCGACGCCACTCACTCTGGGACGGAGTCACCCGAACCCACCAAAAGATGCCCTTGGGATTCGTTAAACTATTAACCTTGTGCACAGGAAGCGCACGCGTGCCGACGCACAGTGTACTGTAGCTTGCAGATTAAATAGCTTCCCAAGCGACAGCTCAAGCAACTACAAGCTTGGAAGGCTTCGCACCCGAGTCTGTGCTTTGTCGCACCGTGCCAACCACGGGAATATTTTAATATTCCCGTGGGTGGGTCAACGCATTTTGAATCCGCACGACAATTGCGACAATGTTCCCATGTCTTGTCCGACGATCCATCGACACTCGAATCCTGGCATAGTTGTACGATGCACAGTCGGCACATCAATCCGCACTAGAACGCACGCTGTGGCCAGGTTCTGTGGGCAGCTCGATTTTGACCTACATTCTCCACCGATGTGGCATGGCTTTGCAACGCTGCCACGTCATCCTCGGGGCGCTTGCCCGAGCGTGGCTTGTCAAGCGTCCATGACGTCGTATTGCAGCCGCGCTCAAGAGCGACATTGGGACTGCGACTGCGGCATTCGCGAGCTGTTGCGTGCGTAGACCAGTCCGCCGCCTCGGACGGCAAACTCAACAGCGACATGTACGCGCCAGTCCTTCTCGCGTTTCTTCGGAAATGCTCGCAGGTGCGACCTGGTTCTTCTAGCGTTTGTGTATGTACATCCATCCACGGATTCGATGCACTTGAAATGAGTATACGCGCGCAATCGTGTCGTGTCGCCAGGCGCGCCAACTCTGCTTTGTCGTAATCGGATGTATTTTCAAACTTGAAGTCGAGTTCAGTTTTGATTTTCATCCGTCTCGACAAGAACAGCCTCTTGCCATGACCATGCTCGCAGTGGACGAAGCGTCGTCGACGACAACCAGTATCGTGGTACACCCCCACGCAGCATCCAGCTACGTCGCGTACACGTTTCTCATCACGTGCCCCAGCACCAAGGTGACGTGGACGCTCACAAAGCGCTACTCGGCGTGCTACGCACTCCGAAAGGCCCTCCAGCGCCTCGAAAAAGGCATCGAGACCGAGCTCTCGCGGCCGCTGCATACGGCGCTCACGATGCCGTTCCCACCAAAGCACCTCTTTGGTCAGAGCGCCGACGTCGTGGCCCAACGCGCGGCGGCGCTCAAGCACTTTGTCGCGATGCTGGTTGCGATCCGCGCCACTTGCTTGCTCACGCTCGTCGCGCACCGCGGGCGAACGACGGCGCCGAGCGACACACTCTTCTCTCTGCTGCAAGAGTTTCTCGAGGTGCCGACGCACGTGTCGCCCAACGAGCTTCGGCAGACGGTCGCGATTCTGTCGCCGGACGAAGCGGCCGCGTACGCCATGTATCCGGACGACGACGACGAAGCGAGTAGCTGCGGCGTGTGCTTGGCGCCGCTTGTTCCTAGCGCATGCGACACGGTCCATGCGCCGGCGTGCGGGCATCACGTCCACGCCGCGTGCGTCGTACACGGCCCCGCGCACTGCGTCCTGTGCCGCGACCGGATCGCATAGCCATACTACCTCTCCTGTATTCTTCTCTTCTTGTACAATAAAAAAGATACCATACTGCTACATCATCGACTTCTCTCTCGCTTGCTTGTCAATAAACGGGTTCCGCAGAGTGGACCGAGAAGAAAACGTCCTGAGGAAAAGGCCACAGACCGTCTGATCGGCGCGCCTTCCACGCGCTGCGATACCCGCTGAGCATGTCCCGGAATGGGCTCACATACAAATATCAAGTACAAGAAAGGCCGGTTCAAGGTCCAACCCACCGCTCAAAAACAACACCACGGAAATGGTGGCGCATCCTTTTTTCAGAAAACATATAGCAACTTTGTATACGAGTGAAATCGCGATCCGTGATTGGCTGAAAAG